CTTCGGTTTAAAATAAAAAAAGTCGCACAGATTTGGTGGTCTGGTCTACTAAGTAAATAAGAAGCATACTCAATGCTTTTAAACATAAATTAAAAACAAAATTGTAAAGCGTACAGCTTGCAAAACTGTAAAAAGCACGTGGATATTGGTGTCTTCATGCGTATTTAAAGTACAGAGGAAATAACTAGGTGGCATGACAGTATATCATACAATTGAGCTTACTTCATGCAAAGGAAAAGCCGCCTGAAACACGTTTTCGCTGATCAACCTCGAAATGCCCAGATCGATAACACCTCTGGCAGTCACTTCCATGTCCTCTGGTGTGGCATCAGTGTCCAGCTCGGGCTCAATCACTCCCATTCCAGGGGGGAGGTTGCTAGGCTGTTCAGGAGGGTCTAAACTACGCAAGTGAAGTGGATCACTAAGAGGTAGGCCCGCAGTTGGCACTGGCAGAGCAACGGGATCACTAGGCTGCGCCGAGCCAGCAAATAGATTTGCCTGTGAATTGGAAATATCACCAACTTTATCGTTGATAAGAGACAGGATGTGGGGGTCTGTGACACAACCCGTGCGTCGGAGCAAATAGTCGAGTACAAGGCTGCGTTCAGCTGGGGTGAAAAATTCATCTTCATTTTTGGGAATATCAAAGCTAAACAAAAAATAGGCCGAGAGTTATATACATTTGCATTAAATAAAGTTACAACATAAACCATTTGCAATAAAAATAGGGAAATATCCATAATAAAAAGAAAAAGAATGATAGAAACACGAAGAGACAGCACTTGTGTTTAAGCTATTGGAAGTCAGTGATAGGTAAAATTCCTGACTAATTACAAAGAAGGCTCGATCCAATCAGTTAACAGCAAACAAAAGATGGAATTAGGAAGAACAGAATAGTGTGGCCTATTGTTTGGTTGTGGTCTCATTTCCTTAGATAGAAGTTGTCTGACCATGTTTTAGCAACTTGATCATATTGGCGGAAAGGTCTAAAGAAACGCACCTATACCAGAGTCCATTGTATGCATGATCATTTCCAAGGTCGGACAGTGGACTTGGTACATTCCCAGACGTTTTTCCGGCATTGTCATTCTTAGCCCCACACTACAGCTCGTCAAAGAGACAGGTTAAGTTGATCCTTTGACCAAATATGTGCTAAACAGTTGTTGTATCTCACCTTCTGTCCTAGACTATTCATCTTTCCCATATCCTCGTATCACCTTTTCAATGTCACAATTTCTTACTTGTTTATCTGCAGCGTCAAATTAGGTTGACATACCAAGTAATAATCCAGACTTTAAGGCCTGCTCAGTGAGGCTATTGTATACGTGTTATCAAAGGCTTCAGGCAGAGTGTAGAACATAACACCTTGAGTAGCACGGATACGGTGGCAGTGATGGCGTGAAATCATTGAAACAGGCAGACAAGGGAAGAATCCCACGAAGCAAAAGAGGACTCTGATAGGACCCGAAGGGAGAGGATTGCGGATTAAACCGCATTCTTGGATCAAAACTCCCGGTACAATGGGAGGGATAAGGAAACCAGCGGGGAGTGTGAATATATTTCAAATAGGTCTAGATAAACAAGTAAGAAAGTGTGATTTGAAAGAGGTGGTGCGAGGATATGGGATAGATGAATAGCCCAACTGTTTA